GGGCAAACTGCCTTTACCCTGATCAAAATCCATCCAACCATGTCTGCTAGGCAGCAAGCATGAAATAATGAAATAAGATAAATCGAAGCAAAAATAGGGCCATAAAGAAGCATACATATTCATGCACACACACACACACACAGACACACATACACATACACACATGCACACAGACCTTACTCACTAGTCGGGAAAAGAGTGCAAATAGAAACTAAGTATGTGCATGTGTTTAGTTTAAAGTGAAAGTTTATTTTCCAGTTTCCATGGGAAATAATTGAGCTAATATTATCTTCCCAAAGTAAATACTTTCATGCAAAACTCCCTCAAACTAATCCCAGGCTAAGATTCCTGCTGTAGCCTCCTTTTGCCCTCACGCCTCCGAATTCTCACACTGTGGTCTAAAGCACAGAGGATTACTAACAGAGAGGCATGGCCTTGCTTCTTCCCCCCGCTTTTCTGAACGTTGAATTGCTGAGTCTTTTGTATCTCTCTTGCCGGATCCTACTGCTTGAGATGGGAGATAAAATCTAATGGGAAACCAGAAATGTGAGGACCCCTGGAGTCTGACTTTGTCAGTTCCTCTTGGCCATGGACACTTTACTCAGACCTTACTGGGTCTTTTCTGGAATTATGTTAAGCCAGGAGGTCTGGAGTTTGTTTTTGGGTTGTATTTCTGTGGAGCCCTGTGAGGTTTTGTGTTACTGTGTTTTTAACAGTTTTTTCCGTATATTGTTTGTTGGGTTCTGTTTGCTTGCCTCAGTAAAGGGTTATTATTCATATCCTATTCATCAACCCCTCTCTCCTTCCTCAGCACCACTAATCACCCCTTGCTATCATCTGCCTAATCTGAAAAGAGCCAGATACTTCAAATGTCAAAGTAATGATCATTATGTATTTTTTAGCAACAAAGCCTACATTTTCTAAGCATGATCCTTTTGGGAAATGCAGTAAGCTCCTGACATTTTGAGGGGACAGGTCCAGAGACCTTCTTCAACCCCCAAATCTCAGACACAGGAATGTTTATACAGGCCTCTGGCTCTGAGTCAAGAGGCCTGAATTTCCTTTGTATGTCATCACTCTAACCACATGATGACCTGGATAAATGCATATAAATGGAGAAAACATGAGCAACTATAGACTCATACACATTTATTAAATTATTGAAGGTAAGTATGAAGGGAGACCTTGAGAGGAATCTGAGATTTCTGCTCTTGACAGGAATTAAGCTCATGCATATTAAAAATCAGTTGTTGAAATCATTAAGCTAATTAGAGAGACGTTACTAAAAATTTTTGTCATTACGAAGTACATATTCTGTTTTTGCTCAGTGTAGTCACTGGAGATGAATTCTAGACTTACTACAAATCTGGAAGCCCCTATGTGTCATTAGAATATCAATGTCATAAAACCATACATATCACTCAATGGATACACTTGCAAAGACTGTTAAACCAAAATAAAAGTATTGAGAAGGCAATAAGGAAAAATTATACTCAACCAAAATGTCCAAAAAAGGCCAAGCAATAAGAACTGTCCATCCATTTCTTGAACTACAATGCAAATTGAAATTATTAGCATGTAATCATTGCATCGCAGATGCCACTGACCCAAGGGCCCTGGGTTCATTAGAGGCCATTACCCCATTCATTTGGCTCAAGCCCTCATCCAGGAAATAATTGTGCTAAGTAACTAAGCATTCCCTGCTTTCAGACACTGATTCTATATAGTCATTTATTCAGCAAGTGTCCAGCATATTGGTACGGGAATGCTAATCTCATGACTGAATTTAAGAAATAACATTCTTAGTAGGATAGCCACCATCTCCAGTGATGTATTGACAATCCTTGGCTTAAAATCCCACCTCTACCACTGTTTGTGTGACTTTGGGAAAGACAATTAACCTGTCCACTGTTTAGTTTCTTTATTTTCAAATAGAGATAACACCTCTCTTAAAAGTTATTATGAGGATAAAATAGCACTTTGGGAGGCTGAGGCAGGAGGATCACTTGAGCCCAGGAATTTGAAACCAGCCTGGGCAACATCGTGAGACCCCATCTTCTCTTCAAAATATTTTGAAGAGAGAAATATTTTTTGTAGACAAATATCTACAAAAATAAATATAAATCAGCTGGGCATGGTGGCACGTGCCTGTGGTTCCAGCTACTTAGGAGGGTGAGGTGGGAGGATTGCTTGAGACCAGGAGGTCGGGACTGTAGCGAGCTGTGAACATGCCACTGCACTCCAGCCTGGACAACAGAGCAAGACTCTGCCTTAAAAATAATAATAAGATATATAAAGTGTGTGGCACAGAAGGCAGGCTCTATTGACAGGTATTATTGTTTGTCTTGTTACTTTAACATAAAGCTGTTGTGTCTGCCTATTATTCAACTATTCACAAGCATTCAGGATTAAAGGCAATTTACAAGTATAAGAAACACACCATTTCTTTTCCTTAGATATTTATAATTAATGGTGGAAATTATAAAATCTCCTTTTCCAATACAAAGTTTCAACTAAGACCTCTTGTGGGCTTCACATATCCTTAAACCAGGGTCGTGAGATGGGCCGTGTGTCATGTCATTGCACATGGAGAAAGGAATATTTATCAAAAACCAGTTACATACTAGCCACTGCTCAAGGCATATGTATACTCTTTCACATTGCTATCCCCATTTTTTAAATGAAGAAACAGAGGCTTAAAATGCTTAAGTAACTTGCCCTAGATCCCAGCAAAGTAAATGAAAGATCCAGGATTCATATTTGGGCCAGTTCAACTCCAAAGACCATGCGTTTTTCGTTATGTTCAGCTGCTAAACGTAGTTTCTTACCACAATGTCATGAACTATTGTTACAAGAGAATGAGACCGTTGTTTACTATCTGTCGTGGCTGTTTAAATCAAGCCTGAGGATATAAAACTTATGACCTCTAAGTCTCAGATAAAAACCCACTTGAATTAAAACAAAACAATGGAAAATGCCTTAGTAATAATATTCGAAAAATCTTCAGAATGTGAGATACCAATTGGCTTTGTTTAGCGGAATGTCCCTGGGCAGAGATGGATGGACTTCGTGGGTGTCAGAGCCATCAGCTTTGCCAGAGTAGAATTCGTGAGTCTAGTGTGATGTGTCGTCCTCTCTTCCTGGTCATCAAGCTATAATTCCAATTTGTCATAATTATCCTTTGCTATGGTTTGTGAACTTACATCTCAGCAAGATTACAAATTCTGACTAGGCTTCATTTTAAATGGAAGAATACATTACTTTCATTCTTTCAGTATTTGAGTCATGTAGGCAAAGAAAACCATGCCTGGCGGTATCTTTTCCAGTTCCACAGTGCTCCGACAACACATGCTTCTCCAAAGAATCACTAAGGCTCAGCCCCAGAGGGTGTCACGTGTCAAGAGCTAGCTCTTAACCCATCCCCTGGTACAGCACCTGGCATGGAGGTGCTGTTCAGTAAATACTGTTCAATGAATAACTGAATGAAATCCTGTCTGCCCTAAAAAGCAAGAAAACAATATCATTCCTTCCTGACTTCCTCATACCAAGTCTGGCCTTTCTTTCTACCTAAACCTGCCTACCCACAAAAGCTTCCCAACTCACAGGCCAAATGCAAGGTAATGATACCTTCTATCCCACAGGTCTTTAGAGAATCAAATTGGATGAGGCTGTAGGAGCCTGGGAATCACAGCCTTTGCCCCACCCCCTCAAAAATGCGGCAGAGGGAATGGGTCCAATTTTCATCCTTGGCCACATGTTGAAATCACTTGAGGAGCGTTCAAAAAATAGGAACCGTAAGTCCCACTCCAGTTAAAGCAGAATCTCTCAAGATAGGGTGAATACTAATAATATTTAAATGTTGCCCTAGTAATTTGAACATGAGGCAAAGATGGAAGAAGCCAGGAAAGGGGTACACCAGCCCCACACAGGCAGGAAGAAGCATTAGGTGTGCTCCTTGATTGGGAGGGTAAGAAGACAGAAAGCCCGATATGGAACAGCAGCTGTTGCTGTTGGGCAAAATGCCCTTCCCAGCCCTGTAGTCCTAGCTGCCACCTGGGCTACCTCCACCACCTCCTTCCTACTCCTCTAAATGGTCCTTGAGCAGGCTGCAGTCTCATCCTGGGCAGGGCAATGGGGACCTGCCCCAGGCATCCAACCCTTTTTAAATAGAACTAGCCTCCAGGTCATGATCTCCACTATTATCCCACCTTGTCCTCAAAACTAAGGATCCCAAGTGACAAGCCCCAAATGGGTATGGATGGACTGTGCATAAACCCAAGGAAAGCACTGTAGAAAGGACAGCATGTCAGCAAGTCCTCAAGACAAGCTGGGAAAGGAAGAGTAGCCAGAGACCCAAAATGCCAGACCTGTTTATGTCCTCAGTGTTAAGAGGAAGTCACAGATTCATCACATTGGGAAAAAAATGCCTCTTAGATCTAATATGGTGAAGGAAATACACAAGTGTAGCTTTTGTGTTTTTCCTACTGTCCTGTAAGTTCCCAGATGGTAGAGACTATTTGTTATCATTACTATATCCCTAGCAACTAGTACGGCGCTTGGTACCTAGTAGGAGCATTGATGAAAAGAAGGGAAAATGATTCCTTTCTTGAGGAATTTGCATTGTTGAATTTCATTGTTCAAAGCTGTCCTGTATTCAATACACACACACACACACACACACACACACACACACACACATACACACACACTATTGTTGGCTGAAGCCCCTAAGTTCATAGCCCAACTCTTATGCACTGTTTCTGTTCCCCCAAAATTCCTATTTTGAAGACTTAACCTGTCAGCGTGGCTATATTTAGACATGGGGCCTCCCTGGAAGTAATTAAAGTTAAATAAGATAAAAAAGGTGGGGCCTTGGTCATATGGGATTAGTATCCCTATCAGAAGAGATACTAGCGAGCATGTTCACCCTCTCTCCTTCTCTACCATGTAAGGACACCTTGTGAAGGTAGTCATCTGCAAGTCAGGAAGAGAACCCTTACCTGGAACCAACTCTGCAGGACCTTGATCTGGGACTTTTGGCCTCCAGAACTGTAAAATAATAATAATAATAAATACATTTGTATTGTTTAAGTTATCCAGTCTGTGGTAGTTTATTACAACAGTTCAAGGAGACTATGACACCAACCTTAGACCAATCACAACATCTTTGAGCCTGAGTTTCTTCATCAATAGAGATAAATCCTACCTGTCCATAAACATCAAATGAGATCACATGCTTTGAGGGTTTTGCAAACAATCGAGCATTAAGTAGGCATTAATTCATTCATTAATCTCTATCTCTGTGCTCTCATACTTTAATCCCTCTGCTAGCTGAGCATTTACCACATTGTATTAGATTGAATTGTTTATATGTCTCTTCTGTCAGGTTTTAAATCCTTATGGCCAGGAGCCAAGTCTCATTCATCTTTGTATTCCTATACCAAAACACACAGTCACTGCTCAAGAAAGGCTTATGGAACAATCCCAAGGTGGCATTGAATAGGCTTCCTGTGTGTCCCATGACACCCTCCTGTATACTCTGATCACTTAGCATCAGGTATTGGAGTTCTTAGCTTTTGTGTTTTTCCTAGTTCCCAGATGGTAGCGACTACTTGTTATCATTACTATATCCCTAGCAACTATCACAGAGCTTAGTACCTAGTAGGAGCATTGATGAAAAGAAGGGAAAATGATTCCTTTCTTGAGGAATTTGCATCGTTGAATTTCATTGTTCAAAGCTGTCCTGTATTCAATCCATCATTTCTAACAGAACAAACTGAATGCTCTCCATTTCACCAAGTCTTTTTTCAAATGGCTCCCAAAAGGTCCTAGCTCTTTTATCCTATTATAGCTGGCAAAGTATCTGAATGCATCATTTTATTGTGCAAGTCAATATCATACCCCAGAGAACCAAGACTGGTCATTTACGTCAGCAGTAGTTGCTATGCAACCACTCTCCAAGTCTTGGTTGAAAGATCCAGGGCTGAGGCAGTGATTTTTCCCACCTGGAAAGGACTATAATTTCTAACAGGAAAAATACACCATTATGCAGAGTGACTTAATCTTTTTACAAAAGAAAATTTGACCACATCAAAAAAGTATATTTTCTAGGTTTCCTGTGCATATATAGCCTTTATATAAATAGACATGTATATTTAGCCACAGGAACCCAAACACACATATACTACATACGTATTTATAAATATGTAGATGTTTATTAGAAAGAGTAAACACTCTTTCTATTCCAAAGACGTTCCAAGAGAATTATACCATTTTATTTCTTTTAACAGAAGTAAACTTTTAAAATGAATTTCTATTTTCTCATGGCAAAAAAAAATTTTTTTTTTTTTTCAGAAAATGGGGGGAAATTTAAATAAGAAAATAGAGAAGACTGTGTCAAACAGCCTACATCAAACCACTGTTAGCCTTTGCTATGTAGCCTTCCAGATGTTTATATATAAGAATATTGACATATTTAAAGCACAAAAATGGGAACACGTTATATCCAAAGTTTGGATACCTCCTTTCTTTAAAACTTAGCATGCAATGGATGTCTTTCTAAGTCAACACAGAGTCATATCATCTTAAAGCCTACATAGTATGCCATTGCTTAAATATATCATAACATATTTAATTATTTTTCTGTTGTGCCCATTTTTTCACCATTGTAAATTATAAACATCCTCATGCACACTTCAAAAACTCACCTGATTGTTTCAGTAAGATTAATTCATGCATCATGTCAAAATGATGCACTTATTTGAAGCCTTTTAGAATACTTACAAGTAAATAATCTAATATTATGCATTTGTTCCAAAAAGCTAGATTTTTAGTCAATACAGATTTAGTGAAATCTTGACATAATTTAACGTTTTTTAAAATAAGAATCCAAGGTTTGTGAGGATACATTATAACAGAATAATTTGAAGTTTCTCCTCTTATTTTGCTGTATAATCATTCAGTCTATACCCTGTTACCATTTGCCACACAGTAAGCTGTTTTTCCCAGCTCACTGTACTTCTGCCTTCACTCCTCGTATCCCCTCCCCTTGGTCTTGCCTGTTGTTATCAGCTGCATTTTTAAATTGGCTATTGATGAACTTACCTGGGCTAAGCTGAGCCTGAGGTATACCTTCAGAACTTCCATGTGGGATGTGGGGTGGGTTCATGTTTATCTCCATATAAAAGACTGATGTCCTCAAAACGCTCAATTGGAAGTATGTTGACAGCTGCCTTTCAAAAGATGTGTTAATTTCTGTTAAAACTTATTTCTTCATTATTGAAAGAATCAGTTTCCACCACTTGCATCCTTGTCTTGTTCTTCAAAGTCAACACACACTCTTTTGCCATGGTAATCATCCTAAATATTCAACTTTGATCATTTTTTCTCTCTCTCTCTATTTAGAGACAGGGTCTTGCCCTGTTGCCCAGGCTGGCGTGCAGTGGTGCATTCATGGCTCCTGCAGCCTCAAACTCCTGGTCACAATCAGCTCGCATTCACCTCAATCTCCTGAGTAGTTGGGACTGCAGGAGTGCCACCACATCTGTCTAGTTTTTTTTTAATTATTACTTTGTAGAGAAGGGGTCTAACTATGTTGCCCAGCCTGGATCTCAGATCTTGTTTAAAACATTAAGGCTTCCAACACCAATACAATTCAGGCTCCTAAGAATGACATTCAAGGTCCCTCCAACCTCACCTCATACAAATCTCATTCCTATACCAGGCTATCTTCCTTTCCGTGGACACATATTTCTACTTCATACATTTGCCCACACTGCTCCTATTTCCCTGCCTTTTACACTTTTCAGCACATTTTTAACTTGCCCCCAAAGCTACCCATTCTTCAAAATTTCTTTCTTACATCCATTTCTTTTAGAAACCTTCCTCATTTTCTCCAAAGTAGAGTCTCTCCAAGGAACCAGAATCAAGAAATACCCAGAGTATCCAGGACGAGGTAGCCAAGGTCTGGGTCCACATTTGCTAATAACATCTGAAAGTTCACTACTTTGGAAATAGTAAGCAATAGTCTACTGCATTAAAGCCATTCTCAGCCAGGCATGGTGGTGGGCACCTGTAGCCCCAGTTACTTGGAAGGCTAAAGTGGGAGAGTAGCTTGAGCCCAGAAGTTGGAGACCAGCCTGGGTAACATAACAAGACCCCATCACTTAAAAAAAAAAAAAAAAGTAATCACACAACAGAAACTAATATTGTCAAACGAAATGAAATTGAGCAAGACAGAGGATATTAAGACTGCAGGATTCGCTCTTAACCCCTTCTATCTCCTGATAACCACCAACAGTGCCTGACCAAAAAAGTAGGGGCAAAATATTAACCCCCAAGTGATGCCAGAACCCTCACTCCCATGCACTTCCCAGATCCCCTCCCTATTCCTTCACTCCCCCTCAATCCTGAGAAGCTGAATATGCAAATGGACAATGGGTAGTTTATATATAAAAATAAAACCAGAACCCATAACCTGCAGCAACCAGCCCAGGAAGCCAACCTACTCTCTGTAGCAACCAGTCCAGAAAGCCAGACAATAATCCCTATAGCAACTGATGCAAAAGGGTCAGGACTTGACGTTTGACACTGACTGCTTCCCTTATTTTTGTTCCCACTTCCAATTTAGGGCCAACTGGAGAAAACCAAATAAGCACCCTTAACTAATCACATAGACGCCCATTCCAATTAGCCCACCTGTGATTTCCCTAGGCTAACAGCCTCGTCACGGTGCACTAAAGGTCTTCTCCTTTTTCTGCTGTGAAACTCTCCCACTCCTCTGCCTGCCTTGGAGTCTCTGCCAAATATGAGTGGTGGTGACTGACTCCCTTGTGAAAGTTATGTGTAAACAGCCTTTGCTTGTTCTAATTTGAGTGGTCTTCATTTATTTTCACAATCCCAACCTAAGCCCCGCAGCTGAAAGTTGACTCAAAAAAGTTTTCTAATAAACACATTTAACAATTTTGATTCTACCTGTACTGAATAAACTATTGTGACCACAACTCAGTCCTTTTTCAGTTGAAATGTTAAAGCCCAGAAAGCTGGTATGGCAACCCGGAGGGTCCTAGATTAGAAAAGCCTGAACCCCTAGCTGGAAAGCCAAGTCCCCTCCTGGCTCTGCCATTAACTTGCTTTATAATTTCAGGCATAAGATCTTAATGTCTCTATGTTTTACTGTCATATATAAAATGGAGATAAATCCTATGTTTGCTCACAGGCTTGGTATAAGAATAAGACAGGGCTGGGCACCATGGCTCACATCTATGATCTCAATACTCTGGGAGGTCAAGGGAGGAGGATTGCTTGAACATAGGAGTTTGAGACTAGCCTGGGCAACATAGCAAGACCCTCACATCTACAAAAAAATAGCCATCACAGTGGCACGCACCTGTAGTCCCAATTACTCAGGACGATTGCTGGAGCTGAGGAGTTTGAGGCTGCAGTGAGCGATGATCGTGTCACTGCCCTCTAGCCTGGACAAGAGTGAGACCCTGTCGAAAAATAAAAAAAGAGAGAGAAAGAGCATAATATTCGACTGTGCTTTAAAATGGTTCCTAATTGTGAAAATATAAGATGTTATCTCAGATACATGCAGCCTTTCTTCCAACACCCCTTGGTGCCTCAGACATGGAAGAGATCAAACAGGGATAAAGAAGGCAAAAAATACGTTGGCTCCAGGTACATTAGCCGGACGAAGTGAGCAAGCACAAGCTGCCCAGCCACTGGAGCTGGTTCCTAGTCATGTTATTCCATGCCTTCAAACTCCCACACACACCCATCCTCCGCCAAAATACATAAACCTCTTTGAATTACACTCCTTCTCTTACAGGAGCAATTGACTACAGTTGGATGTGATTTGTCTTTGTTTGTTTTAATTTATGGATGACCAGAAATGCTGCCCTACCTCCTTTTTTCAAACACCCACCACTCCTCCATCAGAGGTCCTCTTCTGGGGCCTTAGTTTCCTGGTAATTTTTTTTTTCGCTAAGAATAGTTGTGGTTAGAGGCAGCTCCAAGCACAGCCCCCAGTCCTAAGGCTCATTAAGGACATTCTCCAATGCTCAGACTACAGCAGTTAATCATCAGCTCCAAGAAGGGGAGGCGGGGCGTGGATGGCAACTGGAGATCCTTCAGCTGGCGTCCAGGAAGGAAGGCTGCATGGGTCTCATTCCAGGATGACAGCCCTTACAAAGGTGAAAGGTTTGAGGAATCTAAGAGGGAAAATACTGAGACCTATAAACACAATTTTCGTCTCTCAGCCAACACCTGCTATTTTGCAAACTTTGTAAGCAGTCTAAGGAAAGAACCAGCTCTACTCAAAGATTGCTCAGAAAAGCATCTCAGCTTAGAATTTGTCACTTAAAATGCCCAAGAATGACTTCTGCCACACCCACCTCCCAATATTAGAACGTAGCTTTTGACTGAAGTACCCTGAAGAAGGACAAGTTACAAACTAGCATCTCAACCCTACAATACAAAACAGAACCACTTTTGCTTTTCCTGACTTCAGTATCAATAGAAGACTATACCTCCAAGACTGGCGTTTTCCAAAGTTGTTAATATACAGACACCCAAAATCAAAAGAATAAGAGTGTATGAGTTTGGGAAAAGTTGATAGATTCCCTCTCTTGGATCACAGTACACATTAGCATGCTAAAGTTTGACAAGTCCTGCATTGAAGAAATAGGTTTACGGAAAATACAGCATTTCCCAAATTTGCTTGACCACAGAACTTTTTTGTTCCTGACACCTATCAATATTCTGCAGAAAACATTGCCCCCAGAAAAGAAAAGCCTGCATTTGGCTGTTTTGATTTTGTTTGGTTTGAAGATAAAGGCAAATTTGCCTCCAAAGAAAATCTTCTTGGTACATAAGTCCTTACTAGAGTGATGCTGACATGTCCGTGAATCCCAGGCCCTGGATTGGGAACAAGCGTTGGTTACTCTCAATGATTCTCCCTGCCCCCCTGACTCCTACCTTCTACTACCTCTCAGTTCTCTTCTGCCACATCTCCCCCAGTGAAGACCAGCTGATAGCTTCACAGAGCCCATGTGGCACAGAGTAAAACAATTTAAATGGACACCACCCAAAGAAATCTGTGAAGCAGATGATATTGTCAAATATACATTCAGAGCATTTTTATGCAATTCTTAAATGGAAAGAAATATTTCTCTCCTTTCAATCCTTCCATTCATAATTTTTAACAAATGGGCTTCTTGGAATATACAAATGTAGGGATGGAAGGAAAAGATCTGTATATGGAACTTTAGTTTTAATTAAAGAGAGCATCCAAAAAAAAGTGCCAGGTCATTTCCAAGACCCAGCTAAGGAATGATTTTCTGTCTATCCATGGAATACTATTCACAAAGTATTATTGCATGACAAAACAAGTCACAAAACCATATACACAGAGTGATTCATCTTGTAAATGCAGTTGACTCAATGTTTGTTGAAAGATAAATATGCAATAAAAGAAGACTAAAAATGTATATCAAATTGACAGTAATGAGATCTGAGTGAAAGTCTTCTGTTAAGAGAAAATTTTAACTTTCCTCATATAAAAATGATATTTCTACAATAAAAATATTATTTTGGAAATGTTCCAGTCTACCACTTGTGTTATCTACAGAGAAATATCCAAGGATGAAAGAAGCACTTTTACTCCTGAGGAGGAAGGATCATGAAACAAGACTGTGTGGACAGTGAACAGCCAGGGGCAGGACCACATCCTCCACAGCACATAGTGCAGGCTTTTTCACACAGCAGGCAGCAAGCACTTGCCAAAAGACAAGAAAAACTATAAGGTAACAGCAGCAAGTCATGATTCTAAATACTGGGGACAACCCGTACGTTCCAAGTAAGATTAGCCAGTAGGTATAGAGAGGTTACAAATAAGATCCCAAACCTAAATACTCAATACAAAACCACCCCCAGCCCTGACATACGCACCACCGCTGCCACCTCTACACACGCACCTACTTATTAGCTGGAAGTCCATTGCTTTTTTGAATTTCCTTTTCCCAATCAGTTCAAATAATTTTCAGGGCTGTAACCCAAATGTCCACTGGTTGGTAGAGCTTTGGATCAATTCCCTTAGGAGTCACAAAGAAAGGTGGAGATTGTTACCTAGACGATTATAGTCTCCACCTGCCTTCTGCTCCCTGCCCTGTTGACCACTTTTACTCCACCACCCACAGGCCACTACCCCCTCCAGGCCAACTAGTCTCC